CTACAGCAGCTTTCTTATGATTAATGTTTTCATGATATATCTTTTTCTATTCTTATGCTTTTCATCTGTGTGTGTGTGTGTGTGTGTGTTTAAGATTTATTTATTTGAAAGAGAGAGAGAGAGCAAGAAGGAGCAGGAGGGACAGAGGGAGAGGGAGAGAGAATCCCAAACAGATTCCACGCTGAACATGGAGCCTGACACAGGGCTTAATCTCACAACCCGAAGATCACAACCTAAGCTGAAACCAAGAGTCAGACAACTAACTGACTGTACCACTCGGACATCCCATTTCATCTGTGGTTTTATATAGTTTCTTAAAGATAGCTTATACTTGAATCTTATTTCCTTTAATCTGCTTTTTGTGCAGTTTCTTCCTTTTCATCAAGCATTCAGACCATTTATACTTTATGAAATTACTGATATGGTTGAATTTTGATTCTTAGCTTTTATTTTCCTGAAAATTTTATTTTGCCTTTATGTTTGAAAGATATTTTTGCTGGATATAAAATTGTTTCCAGGGTATTATCTGAGCAGTTTAAGATAATGTTTCATTGCCATCTGATTTGCATTTTTACTGACAGGAAGTCAGTTTTAATCATATTGTTTTGTGTGTGATGTGTTTTCTCTGACTAATTTTAAGGTATTCTCTTAATCGTTGATTTTTATTTTGTTTAGGATGTGCTTTGTTGAGGTCTTCTTTGCTTTTCCTGCTTTGGGTTTATTTAGCTCTCTTGTTTGGTATTTTTCATGAAATTTGGAAAGTTTTGGCAGTTATTTCTTCAAATTTTTTTTCTTTCCCCTCCTATTTTTCTGAGACTATGTTGTTGTGTTTTTTTTTTTTTTTCAAATTAACATATAATGTATTATTTGCCCCAGGGCTACAGGTCTGTGAATCATCAGGCTTATACATTTCAAGCACTCACCATAGCACATACCCTCCCCAATGTCCATAACCCAGCTGCCCTATCCCTACCTCCCCACCTCCAGCAACCCTCAGTTTGTTTCATGAGATTGAGTCTCTTATGGTTTGTCTTCCTCCTGATCCCATCTTGTTTCATTTTTTCCTTCATTACCCCCCACAACCCCTGACCCTGCCTCTCAAATTCCTCATATCAGAGAGATCATATGATAATTATCTTTCTCTGAGACTATGTTTATTCAAATGTTAGACCATATACTGTCTCACAGGCTATAGAAGTTCTGTTCATTGTTTTTAGACCTTTTTTTTCCTCCTGTGTGTTTCATGGATGTTTCTATTCTGTTTTCATTTTCTCTTATCCTGTTAAGCCCATCTAGTCATACTTTTTATTTCAGATACTGTTTTCAGCTCTAGAAATTCTATTTGATTCTCTTTTACATCATCCCATTTTCCTCCTAATTGTGCTCATAGTTTCCTTTAAATCTCTGCCAATATTTAATAAAAAAGGAAAATTTTATTCAAAAATGTTTAAAATTCTTTTCTAATTCCATTATCTTTATTACTTCTGGGTCTGTTTTTGTTGAAACTATTTTTGTCTTAGTTATGGATCATGTTTCCTACTTTCTTTGTACATGCAGTAATTTTTTATTAGATATGAATATTGAGAATATTACATTATTGAGTGTTTGGATTTTGGTGACTTTCAAGAAGGTAGGACTTTGTTCTGGCACGTTTTTAGTTAACTTATAGATTGTGACATACCGATCCTTTAGAACGTTGTTTTAAAGGTTTGTTAAGACAGAGATAGATTAGCCTTTACTCTAGCACCAGTTTATCCCTACTCCTAAGGCATGGCTTTGTTTGGATTTCTACTGAATTTGCAGGGTATTTAATGAGTTTTCTCTATTTTGTGAATTGTTCAGTTATAACTCCTCATTAATTGTTCTCTCTGGTTTTTTTTTCTTTTTTTGCTTGAGGTTTTTTTTTTATTATTTTTAAAATATTTTATTTATTTATTTGACAGACAGAGATCACAAGTAGGCAGAACAGCAGGCAGAGAGAAAGCGGGGGGGGGGGGCGGGGGGGAAGCAGGCTTCCCGCTGAGCAAAGAGCCCCATGCGGGGCTCAACCCCAGGACCCTGGGATCATGACCTGAGCTGAAGGCAGAGGCTTTAACCCACTGAGCCACCCAGGCGCCCCTTGCTTGAGGTTTTAGAATTCAGCCTTGCATATGCATAATTTAATACTCAGCAATCAGCTCTAGAAATTCCCGTGCAGATTCATTGAGTTCTTTCTCTTCATTGCTCCTCTTTCTTGCAAATTTGCTCTCAAATTCTATTTCTGCTGGCCTTACTGAACTCTGATCAGTTTCCTCAGCTTAGAAATCACTACGATCTCTTGGATTTATTGTCTCTGTACTATAGTCTAGAGTGTCTGTAAAACTATGGGGCAGTGATTGAACTCACTTCCTTTGTTTTACACATTTCAGTGATTATGTTGTCCAGTCTCTGAAAAGAGTTGTTTTATACATACTGGTTTTATGATAGGAAGAGGACTACCAAAGTACTAATTACTGCATTATGGCCTGACCAAAAGTTCTTTCCAGGCATTTTTTCTTAGATTTTAGTTTTAAGCATATTTTTACCTCATAAAACATTTTTTTAGTATTTTATTCATTCATTATTTATTTTGATTTAAACCACATCTCTCTTTTCACATATTTTTCTTTATTACTGGTTTATAGAGGGTGAGTTTTCTCAGTTTTCATTTGCCAGGTTTCATTTTTAGTGAAGGGCAGTTTCTCTGTTTAAAGATTTAAGTTTGGCAAATATTTTCTTTCATCGCTTAGAAAATGTCCATTGTCTTTGGCTTCCATTATTTTATTTTATTTTTTTACAAAGTTTGCTGTCAGTTTAGTTCGTAGACCTTTTTAAGATTATCTTTTTTTTTTTTTTCTGTCTTTGCATTTAAGTTGGGGTTCTTTTGTATCTTTGCTTTTCAGGAATTTTATTCTTTTATTTTCATATTCCTACACATCTTTATTTCTCTTTCTTTATTATTTGGAGTGCTGCTTAAATCTGTAGGTTAACGTCTTTAAATTGTTTTAGAAAATTCTTTTCCCTGTCTCTTCAAATCCTGTTTCTGCCCATTCTCTCTCTTGATTCTCAGGAATTCCGGTTATTCTTATGTTAGTACTTTTCACTGTATGTTCTGTGTCTTGTATGGGTTTTTCCCCCAACCTTTTGCCTCTTTATGCTTCCAAATTGTATTTTCTTCTATACTTATAGTTCATTCTTTCTTGAGTTGTATATAATCAGTCATTAAATTGAATTTTTCTTTTCAGTTGTAGAATTTCTCTTTCATTCTTATAGTTTTCATTTATTTGCCAAATTTTTCAATCTCTTATTTCTTTGAATTTATTATCCATGATCATCAAAAATTCCATGTCTGATATCTTTGTTATTTGAATTTCCTATGGGCCTTTTTTTAAATTTATTGAACATAGTCTTTTTTTCTTCATATGCCTAGTTCTTGTTTATTGTTACCAAACATTCTTTTTCATGAGTTTTTTTGAACAATTGATCCTTTTCCTGGTGGACATTTTCTCAGACTAGTGGCTTTAAATGTGAAAGAATCTTAATTACAAAAACTAAATACAGTTATTTTGAAATATCCACATGAAAATGTTTCAAAATAAAAAGTGAACTAATAGTCCATGCATTTCTTTATTAGTGCATTTCTAACAAGGTAATACAATTAAGTGTCATAGACAATTTCAAGTTATATTTCATTTTGTATAGTTATGTAGTATAAGGTCACTTGATTCTTAGCCTGAAAAAGAACATTGACCACGGATGTTGGCTCATCTCTTCTCACATTTGAATCAAAAACAGTTTACAGATATGGAATACTGGGAAGCAAGTCAAATATCTAGGTTAAAAACTTGGGGAACACAACTTCACCACTTAAATATTTGATTTTATTCTAGATGTAGATTTGCTCAGTAACTAGCCAGGCAGTGTCTCAGGCATGTCTATAAACAGGAATACTGTGATTGTGTGCTGTTTAATGACAGAATTAATGACTGTCGTAATTTTCAGATACTAATGAGCATAAGCACTATTTCTAGATACTTGCCATAGCTGTAAAATGATCAGAAAATATCTGTAATTCATATTGGTGACATACCCCAGGTACTGCTACTATTACTTGTTTTTTTGTCTAACATTCAGCGTTGAAGGCATTACTAAGGAAATACCAAATTTTAGTTAGAGGTTAATGAACATAAAGATATCACTGTTTCCCTCCATTTAATTTCACAGATGCCCTAATTTCTTTCACAGACCATTTAGAAGTCTGTGGACCTGAGCTTAAGAATCCCTAATCTGAAATGATACCTTATTATTTAAGTACCTTAAACTTATAGAAAGTTAAGTATTTATGTCAATTAATTAAATAGCACATAATGATGTCTACATGGATTTTTAAAAGTACAAGTTTTAGGGGCACTAGGGTGGCTCATTTGGTTAAGCGTCCAACCCTTGATTTCGGCTTAGGGCATAATCTTAAGGTTGTGAGATCGAGCTCTGAGTCAGGCCCTGTGCTGACCATGGAGCCTACTTAAGATTCTCTCTCTCTCTCCCTCTCCATCTGCCCCTCCCCCATCCAGTTTCCATCTCTCTTTTTTAAAAAAAGGAGAAAAAGATTCCTTCTCTCTCTCTTTTTCTTCCCCCTCCTCCCTTATTCCCTCCCAACCCTCTCTCTCTCCCTCTCTGTAAATAAATAGAAATTTTATAGTTTTATAGTAGGTGTGACTATTTTTTTTTTTTTTAAAGATTTTATTTTGACAGGGAGAGATCACAAGTAGGCAGAGCAGCAGGCAGAGAGAGGGGGGAAGCAGACTCCTCGATGAGCAGAGAGCCCAATGCGGGGCTCGATCCCAGGACCCTGAGATCATGACCTGAGCCAAAGGCAGAGGCTTAACCCACTGAGCCACCCAGTGCCCTGCGTGACTATTTTTAAAGTAATAGAATAGTTCTTTCAAATGTCAGAATTAAGTATAATCATTTCTTAATTACAGTTTTGGAAAGACATTGTTGATGATAATGAAGTACGTGACCTCATTTCTGACAGAAACAAGTCTCATGGTAAGACAGGAAGAAAAATTTTAAGTAACTTTGAAATATCAATAATAATAAATGAAATATCAATTTAAGTAAAATATATGTGTTCTATTATAGAAGGTACATCAGGAGAATGGATTTGGGAATCTTTATTTCATCCACCTCGAAAGCTGGGCATTAATGATATTGAAGGACAACGGGTACTTCAGATTGCAGTGATTTTGCGAAATCTTTCCTTTGAAGAGGGCAATGTTAAGCTCTTGGCAGCTAATCGTACCTGTCTTCGTTTCCTATTACTTTCTGCACATAGTCATTTTATTTCTCTAAGGCAATTAGGCCTTGACACGTTAGGAAATATTGCAGCTGAGGTAAGCATGTGATAGTAACTTAAAATAGTTTTGATAGTTAGCAATGATATTTACTTTAAATTTTTAGTATGTAGCATTATTGTATTTGCTATACTTAGAGAATATGAAAGGCTTACATATAGTTTTGCCTATGGTATCACACACTTTTTTGGAAAAAATATTTGAAATGATGTTCCAGATTTAGTGATGGTTGTTCCCACAGTAAATTTTTAAAAACTTGGGCAACACTGTTAAAAAAACATTAAAAAAACATTAATTTTTATTAAATTTGAAATATACAGCATTGAAGAGGGCTACCTCAATAATGTCCTTTCCATTTTCCAGCTTCTGTTGGACCCTGTCGATTTCAAAACTACTCATCTGATGTTTCATACTGTTACAAAATGCCTAATGTCAAGGGATAGGTTTTTAAAGATGAGGGGTAAGTACTTACTTAATTTTCTCATTGTATAATATGCACAGACTTTTTATCATCTATTAAAAAATAAATATGTGTTTGTGTGTGTATGCTTTACAGGCATGGAAATTTTGGGAAATCTTTGCAAAGCAGAAGATAATGGTGTTTTGATTTGTGAATATGTCGATCAGGACTCATACAGAGAGATCATTTGTCATCTCACTTTACCTGATGTGCTGCTCGTGATCTCAACACTCGAGGTGCTATATATGCTCACAGAAATGGGAGATGTTGCTTGCACAAAAATTGCAAAAGTAGAAAAGAGCATAGGTAAGATTAAACCAAAGAAACATTTATTTTCTTTATTGAGGAAAAAATATTTAATGGGGTGCTATACTAAATCACAATTGGTATTTGGGGTTTACTGTTTATTTTGAGGAGTCATTACCCTTTCAGACACACATGTTTGTGTTATTCGTTCTGCCTGTTTTAGATTAGCAAGAAACTTCTGTCATATAGGGACCAGGGTGTTTGTGGCTATCAATAACTCCTCTTCCTTTCTTTATTTCTGTTACTACTTATCAAATCCAACCAAACAACCAACAAAATTGCTATAACTCTGAGGAGCAAGTCTTTCTGTTTCAAATGGTCAGCTGCTACTATTAAGCAACTGAAGCTGAGGAAAAACTTTACTTGTATCCCTAGAAGGTGCTGGTAATGGTATTATTCTTAAAATTAATCAACTTAACCACCTCTTTAGTGGGTTGTCAGTTTTAAACACAATTATGAAAGTATGTTAACATTTACTCATTGATTAGAATGATTTCTATCTTGGGTATAAATACTAAAACCAGAGTAAACAGAGATTTAGCTTGAAATTAGTAGTGAGAAATTAAGATGTCACTTTCCATATCAGTGGTTCCTAAATCTGGCTACACATCGGAATCAGTTGGGAAACTTTTCAAAAATAAAGATACCTAATCCCCATCGCAGAGCTACTAAATCAGTCTTCAGAGATTGAGCCTAAAAATCTTTTTCGAAGATCTACAGATAATTCTGATGTACAGTGGTTCAGGGACTGCCATCTAAGAAGCAGTTATTCTGTATAGCATGTGTTTTTCAGCAATGTCATTGTTTGATAATATTACTAATAACTATTGGTTTTTAATTTATTTTAGACATGTTAGTGTGTCTGGTTTCTATGGATATTCAGATGTTTGGTCCTGATGCACTAGCTGCAGTGAAACTCGTCGAACATCCAAGTTCCAGTCATCAAGTTTTATCTGAAATTAGGCCACAAGCTGTAGAACAAGTCCAAACCCAGACCCATGTAGCATCTGCCCCAGGTTAGTGTTTTTACATAATGTTTTTCATTATGGTTACTGGTATGTAAGATTTAATACTAAAGATAAATGTAAATGTGCAGTACAGGGAACTGATACTGTAATAGTGGAATAGACTAAAGCTGAACTTGAATATGAGCTTTAATTTCTTAGATATTATACATTCCAGGACCAGTAGGACCAAAGTAAGCACAGAGGAAGAATAGTATGATAGATTTAAAAAAAAAATTTTTTTTGAGGAGTGTGAGGGATTAGATATTTACAATTGTGAGAGCAATATGAAGTACCCTGATGAACTTATTATTTGCAATTTTGGTCTCTGGAAATTGATATGCCAAGAATAAGTTAATCGTATATAACCTTATAATTCTCCCAGCTGGTCATCCAAGTACATAACTATAATTCCTCCTAATACTTGAACCAAAAACCACAGAATCAGAGCCTTGGATCAGACACACATGTCTGTGTACCTGCACTTGTGCACCCTTCTTAAGGTCCCTTGGGTCAATTCTGTTTAACTCAAATGTCTTTCATTAGAATTCATAGCTATCTAATAATGAGCATTCTCTTCAGTCCTTGGACTTCTTTCTCCTGGCTTGTTATAAGTCATCATTTTTATATTTTAGCACTCTCAGCCTTTTTGGGAGTGCTTTCTCTACCTTCATTTGTCTTAACAAAACAATCCATCTTTCACCTCATGTGCTCTTTTCCACCTCCCACCATTCCCAAGACATTTCTCTTTCCCTGTATTTTTTAACAGAGGATACTCTTTTAATAGAGGATATTCTTCTCAGTTGATCTTGTTACCTCTCACTTGCAATTAATATGGGAGCCATGTGGCATGTTTTTCTTCAACTTCTTAACCCTTCACTTATAAACTTATTAGCATCTGAACTCATTTTCCTTCAACTTCCACTTGTCTTCAGAGATGTCAGATTCTGAATCTGTGCTCTAAATATCAGTCTCCTCGTTCCTATATCTCAAGCCTCTTTTTCTTTACCTGCTTCTTCCCTTCAGCCTAGAAATACATTTAGATCATCAACCTCCCTCACTATACTTAATTCAAAAATCTCATTATTTTTTACCTTTAACTACTTTGTCCATTTGATCCCCAAATCTTGTTGAGTCTTCCTAAATACCCTGGCTTCTTCAGTTGCCAGTGCAATGCCCCAGTTCAGACTTCCATCACATCTCTCAGCTACTTGTTCTCCTGTCATTTAATCATGATCTCAGTCTCTCCTCTACTCTAACTCATAGGATCACAATTATATACTCTATTCACATGAAAGGTATGTAATATGTATCACATATTTTATTGATTTCCACAATGTCTTTCTGAAGTTTATGGTAGAGTTGTATCATATGGGTATTTAACTTCCTTGGTGTCAACTAACAGGATTGGACAAACAATGAAACATGAAAAAAATAGGAATTTGACTACTAACCTACTCTGTAACTTTAACCCACAGGTAATAACATACTGGCGAGTCAGTGGTCAAATAATAATGTTTTCTCAACCTTGACAAAGAAATGAAACAGTTCTTTTTACCAGTTAAGTGGATAGTAGGGGTATATTTCTATACTCAGAGAAGAAATTAAAGATTAAATTAACTGAGGGCTGTAGAGAAACTCTGTTCAACCAAGAGTTAGAGGAATTAATAAATTGTCAGTGATACACTGAAATAAAATGGGCCATTTGAAGAATATTTAAGGGTACTTTTGATGGAAACTACTGATTTTGCCTCCTCACTGACCAGTGACCTCAACAAATAAACCCATCCCCTCAAATAAGATTTGGCCCTCATTTGGCAAATGGACAAAATTAAACGTTTAGAGTTTGTGACTTGTTCATATATATATATACATATATATATGTATATATATAGTAATTCATTGATAGAGGTGGGAATAAGCCTCTAAGGACCTAAAAATTCACTTTTGAACTGGTGAGCATTTTATTACTTGCTCATAATAAATGACAACTTTTAATTGTTCGATTAGTTATCATTTATAGTTTGTCCCCCACCCCCATCATTTGTTTAATACTGTTTTTTTTATGGAATGGTTGTCTTCAGAAGTTTTGCTCACTTCCTATCACGATGAAAACTTAAGTAACCTTTCACCTGCTTTTAGTTTGACATCTAAATTTCTTCATTATAATTTGAATAGTTTTAAGTAAGATTTTTTATGTATATTAAATTGACATTTTAAAATAAAAAGTACTTTTTGTATCCAGTGGAATCTTGATATTTGCCATCATCCATTTTAAATACACAGACACTTAATACCAAATTTTATGGTACCTTCTTTCTCCTTGAACTCATATCCACCACTCTATCCGTACTTATCACCTATAAATGTAGACATTTTAACTTTTTCAGTTTCATGTTACTCTATAAAGTTTTAAATATTTAAAATTTTATCATTATAAGTTTTAGAAATAAGCAATACATGAAACAACAGTACATGACAAAGTAGCTATTGGAAGTTCATCTCTTAATGAGGTTGTTCTCTGGAAAGTGTTACTCCAGTGTATCCCAAAATGAATGTTATTTTAATTGCTAGAGTGAAACTGGGTTCAACATCAATTCTACCTCCATTTTTCCTTTTTATAGATTTAATTTGAAAATCTAGTTCACATCAATAAATAGCTAAGGATAGAATTTACAGTTCTTTGAACTTCAGAATTATCCAAAATTCTTAAAATTATATTTAATGATCTTCTGTCAACTTGAGTTCTTTGATATGTTGAAATCAAAGAATTAACATATGACTCATAAAAGAATATGTTGCCCAGTCATTACATTTACTTTTAAGTTTTATTGGAAATATGTCAAAAAGATAATTAATAAGATATGACTGTAAAATATACCTGCTGACTTTTGCTTAGATGCACCTTGTTTAACCTGATATAGTCAAGAAATATTAACACAGCAGTTCTCAAACTTAAGGGTGCCTCAGAATTGGCTGGTGGGATCACACACTGATTTCTAGGCTCTATACCCTGAATTTCTGATTCAGGTGGACCAGAGAATTTTAATTTCTAAACAAGTTCCCGTGAGATGCTGATGCTGCAGGTCAGGGGACTATACTTTGAGGACCACTGGATTAGGAAAATTGAAATATTCAAGACCAGTACAGTTTTTGATAAGGTACTTTAATCATGTGCTTTGAGTACTTTTTTGTAAAAACCTTAGAACTGCAGATTTCTCCCATTCAGCTACAGAAAATGTCTCCCATATAACCTAACTGGTAAAGTTAGTCTTCATTTATCAAAAGTATTTTGCTTTAATCAGTCTCACTTTTCATTACTTAAAAAAGGTCCAACTTTATTTTTCATTCCAAGAAAGTATGGTTAATAGGTGTTCCCATGACACCTTCCTTACTTCAGAATTCTAAGACAGTTAAACGAGCCATGATCATGTCATCTGAATGAAATAAGATGCCACCACCTTCAGTATTTCTTTAAAAAACTTTCTGTGCTTTACTTATACAAGATTCTGACTCAAAAGTAACACCTTTTTTTGACAGTAGATAGAAAATAGAGGAAGAAAGGACATTAAGCAAAAATTATCATCACTTTATATCTGAATTCAGAATATACCAAAGGGCCAGAATACTCCTTATCTCATGCCCAACATTGCCCTTAACTATAATATATAAAACATCACAAAATATAGATAGGAACCCCTACCATAATACCTTGGTTAAACGAAGCTTTGTGGATTCTAATGATTCTAATTCTCCCTTTGGTGTCCTAGAGGTTTTTACCTCTCGCCATCATCGTCATTGTCGTCGTCATCATCATCATCATCATCATCATCATGCTGACAGTTATATAGTGGCAACTGTGTGCCAGGCATTGTTTTAAGTGGCTTATATGTAAACTCCTCTAATCCTCATAATGACCTAGGAGGTCAGTGTACTTTACTTTTCCCCATTTTATAGACAGGTTAATTAACTTGCCCATGGTTACACAGCTAGTAAGTGCTGGAACTCTATCTAGAACCAGCCACTCCGACTTGAGAGCCATGCATTTAACCATACCTGCGTTGCTATAAAGGATGGATGAAAGTTAAGACTTTCTGTTCCAAAATGGGAGAAGAGCAGTTTTAGAAAGGAGTATATACAGAAGTTGAGCATCTGGGAAGTGATTCCTTTAAAGATTTTTATTTATTTATTTTGAGAGAGAGAGAGTTGGGGAGGGACAGAGGCAGAGGGAGAGAGACTCTCAAGCAAACTCCTCACTGAGTGCTGAGCCTGTCTCAGGACTCAATCTCAGGGCTCATCCCACAATCCCATGACCCTGAAAATCATGACCTGATCCAAAATCAAAAGTCAGATACTCGACCGACTGAGCCACCCAGGTGCCCCTGGAAATTGATTCCTTTTAAAGTATAAGTACCTTTGAATCACTTGGAATGAATCTTTAGGTATCTTTCCCAAGGGCAGTGCTTCTCAGTTTGTAGCCACTTTTATAGTAATTCTGTGTTTCCAGTTTATCGTCTTAATTTAATTGTGGCTGCTTTATTCTTCTTTATACATTATTCATAAAATTTTTATAATTTCAACATAATTACTGATATTTCACTCAACTGGTCATTAATTGATTCAGGAGATTTCAGTCCGAATAGATTATATTCTCTCGTAGTACAATTGATGAAGAAAAAGGAGGAAGATTTCCAAGTGGGTTAAGGCCCTGCTCGGATATTTTCTGTAATGGCGTTACCAAGTTAGGAGAAGAAAAGATAAGCTGGGGTTGCACCCGGAAAATAGTTTTGATTGTAATTATTTTGTTCTGTTAAGAAATGTCATAGTATGGGGGCACCTGGGTGGCTCAGTGGGTTAAAGCCTCTGCCTTTGGCTCAGGTCATGATCCCAGGGTTCTGGGATCGAGCCCTGCATCGGGCTCTCTGCTCAGCGGGGAGCCTGCTTCCCTTCCTCTCTCTGCCTGCCTCTCTGTCTACTTGTGATCTCTCTCTCTGTGACAAATAAATAAATTAAAAAAAAAAAAAGAAATGTCATAGTATGTCATAGTATGGTATCTGAAATATGACAGACCTGGATTCAAATCCAGTACCTGGCTGTACACAGCTCTGCCATTTCCATCATGTGTTCCTTTGTAAACTTAATCTCTGAGCTTTATTTTTTTCCTTAGCAAAATGGGGATAATTAAATTTAGGCCTATAAATAAGATTAAAACAAACCATGTTTTATAAGTGTAAATAGCTTAATACAGCGTAAATGTTCAATAAGTGACTGCTATTAGCTTTTATCCCAGTGAAAGCTTGGGGTTTCATCAGACATTAGTCAGGATGGTTTTTGATCATTAACAGATTTGACTGTGCTGTGGAGCTCCTTGGGTTCTAGTAATTTTAGAAATACATTTGTTCTGTTTGAGGATTCTGAGCTTTGCTAAAATGTTATTGAAAAATAGTGGGTACATTTTATAAGTTTAAAAACTAAAATAATGCTGATGAAGCAGTATAATTTTTAATTTTAAAAATATGTAAGATTCATATTTAAATCATCATAATATGGCTAAGTATATTATCATATTTTTATGTTTTCATTAGTTCTTTTATATACAGCAGAAAAGAAAACATTTATTTTTCTACATATCTGATCTACTTGTTAGAAAATAATAGATGATCTAACTTATTCATCGGACTTGAATTGTTTTAAAATATGTCATAAGTAAAATCTCAGAAATTGGTATGTGTTTTAAGATTAATAACTAGTACATTTTTACCCAGCCATCTTGCCTCTCTCAGGACAAAAGGTGTACTGGAAAACTATTATTACAACAGATTTTTTTCCCCCAGAAGAATAATCTTACGAAAATTCTTTCTTGAATGTAGGACTTTAAATTAGTTCATACTTTTGTTCACCTTTTCCCAGAAGTGTTATATATATGCCACTTGCAGAGTTAATATTAATCTTTTAAATTCAGAAGTGAAGTGATTATTTCTGATACTGTCTTCTTCTATAACTGAACTGATTCTTATTTACTGATGCGTTGAGCTGTGTGACCTTGGGCTGGTTTTTTTAATCACTTTGAGTCTCAGTTTCCTTATGTGTACCCATCTCACAGAAGAATTAATATAAATAAAGTATTTAACTCAGTGTCTGACCCATGGGAAAAAGAGTTTATATTAGCTGTATAATCCATATTATTGTTACTACTTGAGTGATAGTAAAGAGTTTATATAAAGCATCAAAGACAGTGCCTGGTATGATATGTGCTCCATTATAAGTTTCTTTCTCAAATTTGTGTATTTTCATTATGTTTATACCCCTTTTTGAAAGGTAGTCTTTGTGAATATTAATTGTTTCAGTGTCCATGAACTAAAATGGCATATAGTGACTAAGTGTGTACAAATGATGTAGCTAATGTGTTTTTTTCTTTAGCTTCCAGAGCAGTTGTAGCACAGCATGTTGCTCCACCTCCAGGAATAGTGGAAATAGATAGTGAGAAGTTTGCTTGTCAGTGGTAAGTGGTTTATTTCTATTAAGGCTTTATCCTTGGGAAGAACAAAGCAAAAGAGAAAAGGAAATGTATTTCAACAGTCATCCAGAATGTTTTATTCTGTATTTCTTTTTAGTCAGAGTAGAATATCATTTATACAGAGAATGGACAATGTAAAATCATTTCCCCTGCATTTTAGAATAATTTAAAAGAAAATGTTCATCAGAATCTCCAGAATTAAATTACACCATTTAACTTCTTTTCAGAGTAAAATTTGTGTTAAAACGTTATCTTTGACTTTGCAGAAAATAGGATTTGTCAGATTACAGGATTTTTATTTCTTAAATTAATATTTTATTAAAACTGAACTGGACTGTCTTTTAAAAAATAAAACAGATTTTGTTGTTAAATGTCTCTTCTTTTTCATCACAAGCAATACTTCTTGTTCATTGATAGTTAATTTTTCTTTTTTCAGAGTAGTAGGGGGAAATGAGTCAAATGATACAACAGCTAGTGGGTTTAAGTGGAAATAAGCAACTTGAAAATATTTTATTGAGAAGACTGACTAGTTACATATCAGCCACTTCCTGAAAAAAATAAACTGTAGACTTGGTTAGATTTCATTTTCTCGTGGATGGTAGCTTCCACAGAGTTATAAATTCCAACTTAAATTCTTTAGAAGATTAATAATAAATTGAATAGAAAAGATCACTTTCTGATGATGTATTACTTTAAAAATTTTCTTTCTCTGATCCCTTTTCTCCCATTCTCTAACATGATTTGTCTCCCATTCCATGTTCCTGTCATTCTGTGTTCCATATTTTTGGTACTTTCATATCTTTGTTCCTGTGGCAGTTTTCTCTAGACTTTTCCACTTTGCTTAAAATCGGGTTTATGGTTTTAAATATCTCTAATCATTTTCTTTTTCCTCACCTTATATATTTTTACACCTTATACTTAATGAATCACTTCTAGTAATACTTGGAAATGTCTATCTTCTACATTAAAACCAAAAAAAAGTTTTTTGTATCTAAGGCTTTTGAAAACTCAGTACTCAAAGAATTATGAAAGTTGGAAAAAGTATGTACCACATGCACAGTAAAATGTGTGTGTGTGTTAGGTATGGATTTGGTCTTCTAAAGTCCATTTGTACATTTCTGCTAGTTCTAGTGAGGAGGGAGAGAATCATTTTAAAATTAAAGAATCATAAGTATTATTTGATTCAGTTTATATAAACAGCTATAAGTTGGCCTGTTATATGTATAGTAAGTCCTAGAAAAGAATCCTATGATGATAATTCAGCCTCCAGTCCTAACTGATAAATAGATGGAAGTCACTATATGAAAAAGACAAACTGAAGTTTGAATTAATTTGTACTGCATTATGAATAGAAATTTCTGAAATGGGGGAATGAAAGTGTGAGGCGTGGGAGAAGTATGATTGTCTTAAAGAGTAGTTGAAAGCTTAGGTAAGTTTTTTTTCTAAAGGGATTTGCTCGAAGAGACAACAAAAGTTTAATTTTAGTACAGTTTTTCTTCCATTTTCCACGTCTCCAATGGAAATAGTTCATTATTGGGAATTTCTGTTATATTTTAATTATTGCAAGACAGGAAATTTAGTAAATATTGATTGAATGAAACTTATTTGTTGTAGAATATTTGTTGCCAACAGACCAACCCAGTTCTCACTGGGGTGTGAACATAGTTTTTATATTTGTTGTTAATGATTTTTTTAATACTAAAATAAATGTGATTAAGTGGTCAATCTCCTTTTGTTTAGTTTCATCAGTCTAAAAACCTAGCATGCATTTTTGCTAATAACATGATAGTGACATTTGATAAACAGGCATAAATATTATTTTATAATACATTGCCTTCAAATGGTTTTACTATATTTAGCATCAACTCTCCTATAATATACTGCATAATGCCATTTATTTTTCTCTTTTTTAGGCTAAATGCTCATTTTGAAGTAAATCCAGATTGTTCTGTCTCTCGAGCAGAAATGTATTCTGAGTACCTCTCAACATGCAGTAAATTAGCTCGTGGTGGAATCCTAACTTCAACTGGATTTTATAAATGTCTTAGGTAGGATGCATAGTAGTTAACTTTAAACAAAGTTAATCCATATCACGTAGAACATCTCTTGCTCTTTAGAGAAAATACCAGCCATCTGTCTAATTTGAAATATTTCTACTACTTGAAGTTTCATCTTGGCTAGGTTGTTGTGAGATAGAAATTCAAATACAAGGGGATTTTGTAAATCTAACCTGGTATTTGTGTTTGAACATTATGAGGCTTATCAAAGAAAGAGAAGGGAGAAACTTTTTTCTACCCACTTTATTGTGTTAAAGACATGAGTTTTGTCCTTTTAAATCTTGAATAATAGTCTGACTAATACTCTTAAAATATCGAGGCTTTTGGTATTATGCAAAGTTCATAAAATAGACACTACCTAGATGCAGCTTTTTTGTTAATTATATAGGGTATAAACTTATTTAAAATCTAACAATGTTAATAAATAATGATTTTTAAAATTGGAGAACTGATGTTTTATATTTTTTCTTTGCTTCCCACCTTTGCAGAATAGAACTGTATGAATCATACTGGTTCGTACATTTGTAGTAGTAAATATACTACTGCTGTTCATGTAAATATTGTTAGAAGTCTGTTTTTTGCTTGCGTGCTAGTTAAGAAAACTAAGTGTGTGTGTACTTTACAGAACGGTCTTTCCAAATCATACAGTGAAGAGAGTGGAGGATTCCAGTAGCAACGGGCAGGCACATATTCATGTAGTGGGAGTAAAACGGAGGGCTATACCACTTCCCATTCAGATGTACTATCAGCAGCAACCAGTTTCTACTCCTGTTGTTCGTGTTGATTCTGTTCCTGATGTATCTCCAAGTCCTTCACCTGCAGGTATTAATTTTTGAGTTTTAAGTATATCTAATTTAACAAAAAAGCAAAATGAAACTGTATATTTTATAAATTTGAAATGTATAATTTTCCCTTGTGTTTCCAGTAGCATATTTTGCTTATTCTGTTACTTTTACCATATTTAATATGATGCAAGGTTGTTAGATGTTAATTTCTTAAAGTAATTTTTTCTTGTATTAACTAATAAAATGCCTATACGCAGTTCTCAGTCATTTCATTATGAATTTTGACTTTTTCCCTCCTTTTTTCAGGAATTCCTCATGGACCACAAACTGTAGGAAACCATTTTCAGAGGACTTCTGTTACCAGCCAATCTTCAAATTTGACTGCAACACAAATGTCTTTTCCAGTACAAGGTGTTCATACTGTGGCACAGACTGTTTCAAGAATTCCACCAAATCCTGCAGTTCATACCCACCAGCAGCAAAATGCTCCAGTGACTGTCATTCAAAACAAAGCTCCAATTCCTTGTGAGGTCGTTAAGGCTACAGTAATCCAGAATTCTATATCCCAGACAGCAGTTCCTGTTAGCATTGCTGTGGGAGGAGGAGCTGCTCAGAGTTCTGTGGTTCAGAATCACAGTACAGGGCCACAGCCTGTTACAGTTGTAAATTCCCAGACATTGCTTCATCATCCATCCGTAATTCCACAACAGTCTCCATTACACACAGTGGTACCGGGACAGATACCTTCCGGCACTCCCGTGACAGTAATTCAGCAAGCTGTCCCACAGAGTCATATATTTGGCAGAGTACAAAACATACCAGCATGTACTTCTACAGTTTCACAGGGTCAGCAGTTAATCACCACATCACCCCAGCCTGTGCAAACTTCATCTCAACAGACATCTGCTGGTAGCCAACCGCAAGACACTGTTATCATAGCACCTTCACAGTATGTGACAACTTCCGCATCCAATATTGTCTCAGCAACTTCAGTACAGAATTTTCAGGTAGCTACAGGACAAATGGTTACCATTGCTGGTGTCCCAAGTCCACAACCCTCAAGGGTAGGGTTTCAGAACATTGCACCAAAACCTCTCCCTTCTCAGCAAGTTTCATCAACGGTGGTACAACAGCCCATTCAACAACCACAGCAGCCAGCCCAACAAAGTGTAGTGATTGTAAGCCAGCCAGCTCAACAAGGTCAGACTTACGCACCAGCCATTCACCAAATTGTTCTTGCTAATCCAGCAGCTCTTCCAGCTGGTCAGACAGTTCAGCTAACTGGGCAACCAAACATAACTCCATCTTCCTCGCCATCACCTGTCCCAGCTACTAATAACCAAGTCCCTACTGCCATGTCATCTTCTTCCACCCCTCAATCACAGGGACCACCTCCTACTGTCAGTCAGATGCTATCTGTGAAAAGGCAGCAACAGCAGCAGCATTCACCAGCACCCTCACCACAACAGGTACAAGTACAGGTTCAGCAGCCCCAACAAGTACAGATGCAGGTTCAGCCACAGCAGGCAAATGCGGGCGTTGGTCAGCCTGCTTCTGGTGAGTCAAGTCTGATAAAACAGCTGCTGCTTCCAAAGCGTGGTCCTTCGACGCCGGGTGGTAAGCTAATTCTCCCAGCTCCACAGATTCCTCCCCCTAATAATGCAAGAGCTCCTAGCCCTCAGGTGGTATACCAGGTGGCCAATAACCAAGCAGCAGGTTTTGGAGTGCAGGGGCAATCTTCAGCTCAGCAGCTGTTGGTTGGGCAGCAAAACGTTCAGTTGGTCCAAAGTGCAATGCCACCCACAGGGGGAGTGCAAACTGTGCCCATCTCGAACTTACAAATATTGCCAGGCCCACTGATTTCGAACAGCCCAGCAACCATTTTCCAAGGGACTTCTGGCAACCAGGTAACCATAACAGTTGTGCCAAATACAAGTTTTGCAACTGCAACTGTGAGTCAGGGAAATGCAACTCAGCTCATTGCTCCAGCAGGAATTACCATGAGTGGGACGCAAACAGGAGTTGGACTTCAGGTGCAAACACTTCCAGCCACTCAGACATCTCCAGCTGGACAATCATCCTGTACTACTGCTACTCCCCCATTCAAAGGTGATAAGATCATTTGCCAAAAGGAGGAGGAAGCAAAAGAAGCAACAGGTTTACATGTTCATGAACGTAAAATTGAAGTCATGGAGAACCCGTCCTGCCGACGAGGAACCACGAACACCAGCAATGGGGATACAAAGGAAAATGAAATGCAGGTGGGAAGTCTTTTAAATGGGAGAAAGTACAGTGACTCAAGTCTACCTCCTTCAAACTCAGGGAAAATTCAAAGTGAGGCTAATCAGTGCTCACTAATCAGTAATGGGCCATCATTAGAATTAGGTGAGAATGGAACATCTGGAAAACAGAACTCAGAACAAATGGATATGCCGGATATCAAAAGTGATTTGAAAAAACCTCTAGTTAATGGAATCTGTGATTTTGATAAGGGAGATGGTTCTCATTTAAGCAAAAACATTCCAAATCACAAAACTTCCAATCATGTAGGAAATGGTGAGATATCTCCAGTGGAACCACAAGGGACTTTAGATGCCACTCAGCAAGATACTGCCAAAGGTGATCAACTAGAAAGAATTTCGAATGGACCTATATTAACTTTGGGTGGTTCACCATCTGTGAGCAGTATACAGGAGGCTCCAAATGTGGCAACACAGCAGTTTAGTGGTACTGACTTGCCTAATGGACCTCTAGCTTCAAGTTTGAATTCAGATGTGCCTCAGCAACGCCCAAGTGTAGTTGTCTCACCGCATTCTACAACCTCTGTTATACAGGGGCATCAAATCATAGCAGTTCCCCACTCAGGATCAAGAGTGTCCCATTCTCCTGCCCTATCATCTGACGTTCGGTCTACAAACGGCACAGCAGAATGCAAAACTGTAAAGAGGCCGGCAGAGGATAATGATAGGGAAACAGTCGCAGGAATTCCAAATAAAGTAGGAGTTAGAATTGTTACAATCAGTGACCCCAACAATGCTGGCTGCAGTGCAACAATGGTTGCTGTGCCGGCGGGAGCAGATCCAAGCACTGTAGCTAAAGTAGCAATAGAAAGTGCTGTTCAGCAAAAGCAGCAGCACCCGCCGCCATACGTACAGAATGTGGTCCCACAGGTAAGTCACCCTGCTCTCAACATTTCTCTTAAAGAGTTCTCACTTGTAAATAGGATTGTAGGGGACTGTCCACGGTTGTTCGACACCTCATCTTGAAAAGGTAATTGTGTCAGCTCACCAGTGTACTCGGGCTCTCCGGCTCCTGTTTTTCAGTGTTTTTTTGTAATATTAAACAGTTCTCAATTGTTAACTTCAGCACATGGTTTAAAGAATCTTTAAAATTCCGTTATCGACCCAAATTAGTAATTTTGTAGACCCAAGGTAGAGGAACACTTGCTAATCTGACATCTCTTGGAGAATTTTTTAAATATAAGTCAGTCTCCTTTGTCACCTTTGGGTGGAGGGGGATATACTAAGAGCATTTCAAAAGGGAGTTCTGTATTTGATTTTGATAGGAGTATGTTTTTGTGGCTCTTTTCACCATTCTTTTATAAAAAAGATGAATCCCATAAGTCCTTTATCAGGTGTTTTCCTGTTATATATTGACTTAGTTGCCTTGGTTCTTGAAAGACTATTGTAATTTCAATTTCTTTCAGCTATTCTGATATTCTTGCTTTTGTGTTTCTTTACTGCTTTGCCCTCCAGTCAGGTTTCTGTTATCCCCTCTTTAATATTCTACTATCCAATCTTTGTTGTACCCTGTAGTCAATAGAAGTGTTTTCTAGGATTAGTGCTACTGAATTGAGGATTCATTCTACCTGTAAAGATTTTAAGGTCAATCTTGTGTGCCGTTTCCACTGAAACTAGGGGTTTACTAGTTTTAACCTTATTTTCTGGATGACTTTTTTTTTCCTTTCTCTTTCCGAACCCCTACATAGCCAGAACCTTCTGTGACTATTGCCAACTCTGCTAGCACTCTTCTGAGTTTGGTTTCTTCTCCACGCTTTTGGTGTTTAGAGCAGATCTATGGCCATTGCTGGCATTAGTACCAAATCTGGGGGTGGAGGGAGGCAGCAGAATGAAAGATGAAAGAACAAAGAATCCCTTGCTTCAGAACAGTTCATCCACTGATGTGCATCTTTTCTCATGTGAGTGGATAAAACTGGACGGTGCTGTTGGGGACATAATGAGATTTTAATTCATACATTAGTACTGTATTGCTTAGGTTTATTTTTATTGCAAGGTACCCAAGTGGGTTGAGTATTCTTTAGTTGATGTGTACATGGCAATTATTATTACTGAGTTTTAGCAAAAAATACTAAAGCAGTTTTCCTCAGACTGCTGTAAGTTGAGTTTTTTTTCATTTATTATACACATTAAAAAATTTTTAAAGTAATAATGGTGTCTGGCATACAGTAAGTTGATTTTTATATTTTTTCCCTTCATTTATAATTTCCCAATTCATCTTGATTAGTTCCTCACTCTGTCTTTTCCTCTCAGATTCTCTTATAATAGTTATAATTTCTAAATAGTTATAATAGACTAAGCCAAATGAGAGAAAAACTCCATTACTGTGGAATTATCAACCCTCATTTTTGCGTGTGTCCTTAATCTTCCCAGTATGATTATATTCAGTAAAGATACTTAAGTAACAAAGAACCAACAATAATACTTGTTAAGACTAGGACCTATGTTAGAAACTTGTTACTGAAAGCATTTTCTCATTTAATCCTTGGAATAACTCTGTGAGGTAAGAATTGTTATTACAATAGAGATGAGGCTCCAAGCTGCAAAATAATTCACCCAAGGTCACCAACTAATGTGACGTGGTTCCAGGACTGAACCACTTGGATGTGTGTCTGAAACAGAGATTCATACTCTTAACCCACTTCTCCACTATTTTAAAAGATTTTGTTGAAAAGTTCTAGAAAGCCATTTTATATATAACATATTGCGTATTTGAACTATTATATTACAGAATGTGAGTAGCATTAAATTATAATTTTAGGACATTAATCCTAAAACTTTTTTCTTTACATATTGGACATATATGTATCTAATTCAGTCCATAAAATTACTGCATTTTATTTACATATTATTATTTATTTTATTAAATGTGTTAAAATAAAAAAAATTACTTTTTAAAATGTGTTCTTTAATATATATTGTCCCAAAGAGTATAGTTTATTTAAAATGGCTACATTCCTTATTTTTAAAATTAGTGTTTGGTTGGCCGGTAGAAATTTAAAATTTTGCAAGGAAAAAGATAGCATGCCTGGTGTCTGTGAGAGTGAGAATTAAAAACTGGGATTCTTACATGTAACACTTAACATGGTGACTGCTACATAGTTGGGCACTCAGTAATAGTACAGCTGTATTTTACCTTCGTATATAGGGAATAAAGTACCTATAAAGGCTAAAAAAGATCAACTGTTTAAGATGGGATCATAAATTTCCTTTGAAGGGTCAGCTGTTGGTCTTCTTAAGAGCCTACTAATAGAAAACCATTTCCATTGTTGCCTAGATACTTCAGATTTCTTTTATATGGACCTTGATTTAACACATTTTATTCACTATTTGAATTGGTACCTTAAAGGAGTAGATGAAATAGAGGATTTTAAATGTGATTTTTCAGCAAAACCTTGTTATTTCTACCATTTCAAGGGGTCTGGGGATATTAAGGAGGTACCTGGAACCCAGGGAGGGACTTTTAGATTTGCAGAATGTTCAGGGCTAGAAAGACCGCAGGGAGAAGTCCCTGCTGAGAATAGCCAACAGGTAATCCTTCCTACTACCATTGTTCTTTCATGTTTCTTTTCTCAGTTTTGTTCCCTTTCACTCTGATTAATCGGCTATATTAATTTCATTACAGAAAAAAAATTAACAGCAGAAAAGGAGAAAGATCTATGAAAGTAAATGACATAACTTCAGATTTTGTGTTTAAATAGTATTTAGCTACGTAATTCATATAAATACAAAATAAATTTTACCTATTTCAAGGCAAACTTCTTTATTTGTAGCTGTTTATTTTAGTCTGTTGTATTTGTAAGTTATAGGATAACTATTCATGAATTGGTATCTTCTGAAGGCATAAAACTAGTTTGGCACATAAAAAAATAAAAATGAAAAAAAAAAGAAAAGTAATTATAAATATTTACCTAAAGATTTGCCTTTTTCAGGAGCATGTAAAACACATGTTGAACAGAACAAGAGGTGTTAATCCCATGATCTGAAGACATGCTAAATTCTTGTATATAAAAGTAGTTTACTTAAGGATGTATTTATTTAAGGTGTTTTATATGTGCTTTTCCTCAGTTCTGTTGAACCATTGCTAATTTGGTTCTGTGTCACACTGAATTTTGGTATCTTCCTGGTCCCTTCCTTTCTTTGATAAAGAGCTTGAAGTTATTCAACCCATCAGAATGCAGATCTGTAGCCTCAAGGGGGCAGCATTTAGTCATAGCCAAGATCGTTTTAGCAAGAACCCCAGGAATTATCATTTCAATATTTTCTTAAGAATACTACTGCTTAAATTTGTGGAGTAATAGCACATTGTAATACATCATAAAAACCGAGAAAGGCATTACCACTAAACATAATAATTGTTTTTGCATTTTAGTGTATCTTTATAAGCCAGTCTTGGTATGTATTGATTATCTAGGTTATATACTTTGTAGGAGTAAAAAACTTGGTAGTTTAAAAACACGAGGGAATGTAAGAGCAGAAAGAATCTTAGATATTATCTTGTCCCAAACCCTCATTTTTAAAAATTGAAGTTACTTTCCCACACTCACAAAGATCTCTTTTCCAGTGATTCCTGTAATTGTCTTAATTCTGTTCTCAAAAGATCTATACATTTAGACTAAGTATAAAATACTTTTATTTCACAGAGTAAATCTAATTTTTGTTCCTCATAACTGCTTCACAGTATCTCTCCTTCCTCGCCTGTGTTTTAGAATATACTTTCTCAGTTCCTTCAAGTAGATCCGAGGTGTCAGGGTGTCTGGTTTATTTGTCATCCTATTTATCTTAAGTCAGTTCTATTTTATAAGTGGTTTTCAAAATCTGTAGCTAGAATTGAACAAACTGTTTCATTACTACCTAGCAAAGAATTTATTTTGAGAATAGATTATGAATTTGTATCTTTCTAACACAGATTGAAGTGTTTAAATTTTATCTTTCTAAGGTTTTTAAAGTTTTTTACTAAGAACATAAGGGTTTAAGAGCCTCAAATCCCAAGTCTTATATCAGAAAATGTTATCACTCTAGGGGCACCTGGGTGGTTCAGTCAGTTAAACATCCAACTCTTGATTTCAGCTCAGGCTCTGTGCTTAGGGAAGAGTCTGCTTGAGCATTCTTTCTCTTTCCTTCTGTCCCTACCCCTGTTTATGTGGTTTCTCTCTCTCTCTCTCTCTCTCAAGTAAATAAATAAATCTTAAATATTATCACTGATCTAGAATTTTTAGCCATAATTTACTCTTGAAAAGATGATCGAGGAAAGCATCATCTTGAAAAGATAATAGAAGAAAGCAAGGCAATAATAAAACTGCTGCATTAACTTTTTCAGTTAGTTTTACATTGCAGAATAAATCACATAGTTGTTTTGCATCCTTTGTGTAATTTTACTTTTTTGGTCACTCACTGCTGGATTTGTGGCTTTGATTTGGTGGGGGGGGGACCCAAAACCTGTAATAAAAAAAAAAAAAAAAGGCTCTTCCTCAATAGAGTAGATGATAGAGAATATTCCTCAAGAGGGATCATTCCAAAAACCATGGCTTTGAAACCTACTTTTACCTTTACACTTGAGTTAGGGTTATGGCTGATGATCTAGCAATTCATGGTAAAAAACTGAGCCTGGTTGGCTCAGTGGGTTTAGCCTCTGCCTTCGGCTCAGGTCATGATCTCAGGGTCCCGGGATCGAGCCCTGCATCAGGCTCCCTGCTGGGCAGGGAGTCTGCTTCTCCCTTTCTCTCTGCCTGCCACTCCCCCTACTTGCACACTCTCTCTCTCTGTATCAAATTAAAAAAAAAAAATAGTAAGGTTAAGAAAAAGTGAACATACAGCCTAAAAGAAATATATTTTGCACTATCATGTAAAAGACCTAATTCTTTTTATTAATTGATATTTGTTTGTTTGTTTATTGGGGGAGGGGCAAAGGGAGAGGGAGAGTGGATCTTTTAACAGTTTATTTTTTATTTTTTATTTTTTTAAAGATTCTATTTATTTATTTGACAGAGATCACAAGTAGATGGAGAGGCAGGCAGGGGGGTGGGGGGAAGCAGGCACCCTGCTGAGCAGAGAGCCCGATGTGGGACTCGATCCCAGGACCCTGAGATCATGACCTGAGCCGAAGGCAGTGGCTTAATCCACTGAGCCACCCAGGTGCCCTGAGAGTGGATCTTTTAAGCAGACTCTGTGCTGAGTGCAGAGTGCAGAGCCCATCGCTGGGTTGGATCTCATGACCCTGAGATCATGACTTGAGCCAGAATCAAGAGTAGGATGATTAACTAAGCACAGGCACCTCAGGAATGTGTAATTTTTTTAATAACAAGAGGAAACCTAAAAATATTCACTCCTATGGTCAAAGGAAATATGAGTCTTAGAATTTCTCATTTGGTATATTTTATAAGTACTTTAATTCTTGGGGTGCCTGGGTGGCTGAGTTGGTTAAGTGTCTGCCTTTGGCTCAGGTCATGATCCCCAGGGTTCTGGGATCAAGCCCCACTATGGGCTCCCTGCTCAGTGGGAAACCTGTTTCTCCCTCTCCCCACCCTCTGTTCGTGCTCTCTCTTGCTATTCTCTATGTCAAATAAATAAAATTTTTTTTTAAAAAGTACTTTAATTCTTTTTGTTTCAGTGATATATTTAGATCTATTTAATTCTTTTTATCACTTTGTCACTTTGTTTATTTTTTATTGTAAAATTTTTTCCAACATATACAAAAGTAGAGCCAAGAAGTCTTCATGTGTCTATCACCTAGCTTTAAATATTATTAAATATTATTACCATTTGCCTTTTTAGTTTCATCTGTTCTTCACAATCATTTTTTTTTTCTTGGAGTACCTTAAAACAAGTATCAAACATTATTTCATTTTGCCAGTAAATCAGAATCTATTTCTCTAATAGTTAAGTACTTTTAACTATTTAGATCTCTCTCTCTCTCCAGTACCAAATCACATCTAGCAGAAATAATAGTGTGTTTAATATTATCTCACATCCAGTTCATTGTTCTCTAGTTGTCTTTTAAAAACAACGTGGGTTTGGTTTTTTTAAACAGCTCGTTTGAATTAAGATCCACAAGTTTTTACACGTTGCATTTGGTTAATGTGTTTTTATTATTAATTTAACAACTTAGATTAATTTCAGTCATCCTTGCCATATCCCTCATTCACATTTGGGGTCAAAATACCTGTGATTATTTGTTAAATTTTCTATGCGACACCAAATAAGAGTTCCACAATGAAAAAAAAAAATAGGTTAAAGATTTGTTAGCACTTTTGAAAATAAAAATAAGCTTAATCTACAAATATATAACAAGATATTCAATAAAATACCTAATTTAAGTGGTAATAGAAAAGGGAACCAGAAGGTTCATTCTGAGGGAATTTGATGCTTCTGGCAAGTTTACCCTTTAATTAAAATTCTGGGATATTTGTAACTTGTTACTCTCTAATATTTGTATTTGGCTGAAACTGATTCTCTTGGTTACTCCCCTTATTAGAATTTCTTGGATTTTTATTGCAATATTTTCATTTCAGGGAAACAATTTGAGTAATTCTTTTGATAAATAGGCTAATTCTAATGTTACCTTCCATTCCTTTGTCTCTGATCCTTTTTTTTTTCTTTTGTCTGCTTTCTCAGCATCAGTTTTTATGGCTTTAAGAATTCCCAGGAGAATGATTGTGAGATCCGTGTTTCCAGCATTAACTTCTATTAATAGACATTTGTAGTTGATCTGCCACTGTCCCCAAAGCAGACTCATTCATTATCTTTCCTCCAAAGTTTAGTTTCCCTTATCTATTTGGACTTCTAGCATATATGTTGCCATTTGTTGAGAATCTAAAACTAGGCTCTTCATCTGTAGTTTCTCTAGTCTTCAAACAATCCCTTATGTTAAGATTTCATTACTTAATAGTTTATAGATGAGGAAACAGGATCACAGAGGTTAAAGAGATTGCCCTGAGTCACATAACTAGTTTAAAAGGCAAATTGAAAGTTTGAGTACTGATGTGTCAAGCTAAAAAGTCCACACCCTATCCATGGCATCTGTTTTTCATGCATGCATATGCATGTATATGTTTTCTCACTGACCATATTATAAAATCTTAAGTGTGGGGCCAGATCCTATTATGGAAACAACTTCAATCATATCCCAAAAGAAGATTTTCTTTTTCTTAGAGCTTGGAACTCAAAGAGTCCTAGGACTTCACATTTCTAAACTTTTTTTCAGCATTTTATTCTCTTTTTTCATTTTTATGCTCTAGCCTTATAGCTTACTGTCTTTTTTCTAATTATTATGGATTTTAATCTGATGTTTGCAGAAATTTTTAACTAGTTTTGCCCAGCTATTTCCAATATTACCTTATAAGTGAATGAGTATATTTAATATTTTTCCAGAGTTTAAATTTATTGCCATTAAACAATGCTTTGAAAATGGTGTGCTACCATTTCTATATGAGAAATTCATTATTATTTTTCCCTTTGTGATATGTTATGAATAAAATCTGAGTTAAGGTTCAAAGAAAATATTTTGCCTCAAATTGTTTTAAGCCATATTATAATTATGTATTTTTCAGAGAGAAAGGGATAGGCTACAGAAGAAGAAAATATAGCTTATATTTAAAAGACTTATGAATTAGAATTGGATTTAGAATTCTTTTACTTGTATTGTCCATCAAAAGCTGAAACTGAACAACTTTAAAGACTAAAGTTGTTAAAATGGCTTACTATAAAATAATATAACATTCTACTTATGGTTACTTCATTTTTAACATCAGAAATTTTCTTTGCGTTTTGCTATGATTGTTTTATGTTGTAGTCATTAAAAAATCTGAAAGGAAATATATGCAAAGAAAGATTAATTTGCAATTGATTCGTTCTTGTGCAGAATGTAAGTAAATCAATGAGTGCATTTATAGTAGATTTATTCCTCATTTTAATCTATAGTTTTGTTTCTGCCTAATGTATTGATCTAAAATTTCTTAATTCTAAATAATTTATGTCCTGTAACATTAACAATGTGATCTTGCCTTTGTGGTTCATATGAAATAAAAGAATCTTTCCTAATTATTTTTATAAAAATAATTATCTTTTTTAAAGAATTTTTAAGAAATAATTACTAACTACAAATGTAAATGCTATGTTAGAAGTGCATAACTAGCAATGTAATCATAATTGTCATTATAATCATTTATGCCTATACTATAAAATATGAATGTCTTTCAGTGTCATCTCACAAACTGCGTGGTTGTGTTTTTTCACAGAACACTCCTATGACGCCTTCACCAGCTGTGCAAGTACAGAGCCAGCCTAACACTTCCCAGCCTTCTCCATTCAGTGCATCTAGTCAGCAAGGGGATCCAGTGAGAAAACCTGGACACAACTTCATGTGTCTGTGGCAGTCTTGTAAAAAGTAAATGGAAATTTTATTTGATACACATAAATGCTCTTTGTTCTGGAATGCTTTTATATTTACATTTCTGTCATCTCTACTTTTATGAAAAAATTTTTTTGAAACCACTGAAGTCTTTTAGCAAAAATACTTCCTGTTAGGAGGGATGTTGATATAGTCCAGTGGCACCTGAGCTAAAAAATTTATATAAATGGTAGAAAGAGCTTCATTGCCTAATGGTAGGTTATTGGGGAATGCGTCTCAGTATTAGTTTTTAACAAAAGAAAATCAGCTAAGTATTTGATTTCATATTTGGCTATGAAATGAGATAGGTTTTTTAAAGTAACTTGAAGTTGGTGGTAGCTATCAAATTTTTGTAGCAACTTAAAGATAATAATCTGTTAGGAAGAATGATTTGTATTAAATTTGAGTTTGGGTTGGACACCCCATGAAAATTATTTTTAAAGCCATACCATCCCACCATGTAATAACTAAAATGAACAGTGAGTACGATTGAACTTCCTAAAACAGGACTTTCTTATGAAATGCTTGCAAATAATGTTGGTTAAAATAAGATAGTTCTTTAACAGTGCTCAGCCAAGACCCTTTGTTTTGTCACTTTTTAGAGGTCTAGGACTAAGGCACTTGTCTTAATAGACATAATACCCTTCATTTTTTTGGATATCAAAGTTCCATTTCACGTTAACTGAGAGCAGTAATTACCATATTCTTTTAAAAATTATATTTGCTGTTCATAATTTTTATGATATACTACAGATGTACTTTTACTGTAAACTTCATATAGAGGTTTGTTGTGGGGTTGTGGCTGTCACTGTAGAGTAGGGGATTATTTTTTTTCTATTTTTTTATTTTTTATTAACATATAATGTATTATTAGCTCCAGGGGTATAGGTCTGTGAATCTCCAGGTTTACACACTTCACAGCACTCACCATAGCACATACCTTCCCCAATGTCCATAACCCAGTCACCCCCAGCAACCCTCAGTTTGTTTTGTGAGATTAAGATTCTCTTATGGTTTGTCTCCCTCCCAATCCCATCTTGTTTCATTTATTTCTTTCCTACCCGCCAAACCCCCAACTTTTGTTGCCTCTCAACTTCCTCATATCAGGGAGATCATATGATAATTGTCTTTCTCTGATTGACTTATTTCGCTCAGCATAATACCCTCTAGTTCCATCCACGTTGTTGCAAATGGCAAGATTTCATTTCATTTCTTTTGATGGCTGCATAGTATTCATATATATATATATATATATATATATATATATATATCTCCCACATCTTCTTTATCCATTCATCTGTTGATGGACATTTAGGTTCTTTCCATGGTTTGGCTATTGTGAACATTGCTGCTATAAACATTTGGGTGCACGTGCCCCTTCAGATCACTACATTTGTATCTTTAGGGTAAATACCCAGTAGTGCAGTTGCTGGGTCATAAGGTAGCTCTATTTTCAACTTTTTGAGGAACCTCCATGTTGTTTTCCAGAGTGGTTGAACCAGCTTGCATTCCCACCAACAGTGTAGGAGGGTTAGAGTAGGGGATTATTAATAGTGTGCACAACTTTGGACAGTGTTCATCAAACTAAATCTAAACCCAATAGTGGTGTCATGAAATCATTTTGTCAGGTCTCTTCTTGTGGGTTTTTGCTGGGTTTTTTTTTCCCAATTAAAAAAACGAATAAGGTTCTATCATGTTAGTAAAGGTAACTATCATTTCCAGTTTTATATGTGTATAGTATAGGCATTTGTGTATTAGATTATAGTGTAAAACTGTTTGTCAAAAGGTAGTTTAGCACAAGTCAGTGCTTTCAGTGGTCTTTGATTATTTCTTTTGTTTATTTTGACCTTTGTTTTGTTTATGTTGTAAGTTAATTTGAAAGGTTTTTCACCAAAGTCAACTGTAATCTTTCCTTTTTTTAGATTTTCTTTTTGTCTTTTCATGCAAATGGAAGCTAATGGAATAGGTAGTCACCTAATACTGTTTGTTGACTAAAAAGTTTGGGAATAGTTGCTTTAGATGAAGCACTTATAGTATTTCAAGAAAAAAAAGTTGCTGGAGTTTATGAGTCTAAATGCCTAAATGCATGACACAATTTCCCATCTTGCTACAAGATTTGATCTGTGCCTCCTCTTTGAAAGTCTTTTTTGAATAAGACTCAACAAGGCTTCCTAGAGCCTGTCACTTTTTAAAGCCAGTTTTAGATGCTGCCATCTCAATTTGATTCTGCAAATATTTACTGAGTACCCTCTAGGAGGGTGTATGTGCTAGGAGTTAGAAATAAAAAAGATCATTCTCAGCTTCTATAGAAGCACATCCAAAAAACAAACTTATGGTATAAATAAGTGCTATAAAGAGGTAGTTGGCAGCATAGTGGACAGTTAATGCAATGCTGAGATGGTTAGAAAAGTTTCAGTACAGGAGCTCCTGGGTGGCTTAGTCTGTTAGGCAGCCGCTCTGGTTGTGATCTCGCGCTCATGAGATGGGAGCCCTGCGTTGGGCTTGCACTTGGCGCAGAGTCGGCTTCAGATTCTCTATCCCTCCGCTCCTTTTCTCTCAGTTATTTGAGTTTTATGAAGAGAGTTTTAGAAGTGGCATTGTGTACTTCCATCAGGAGACATGTAATATCTTGTCTCTTTTTTTGTGATGTCAACAGCCATTGAGGATCATCACCTAAATCTATCATTTCATTAAGAGTTGTAAAATGTGGGACGACTGGGTGGCTCAGTTGGTTAAGCAGCTGCCTTCGGCTCAGGTCATGATCCCAGCGTCCTGGGATCGAGTCCCACATCGGGCTCCTTTCTCATCAGGGAGCCTGCTTCTCCCTCTGCCTCTGCCTGCCATTCTGTCTGCCTGTGCTTGCTCTCTCTCCCTCTCTCTCTCTCTGACAAATAAATAAAATCTTTAAAAAAAAAAAAAAGAGTTGTAAAATGTAAACGTTCCCTCTTACCAACTTTTTGGTTTCTCTGAGGCATAGTAAGTTCCTAGAGAAAAGGCTAGATAGGTTATTTATGATAGTTCTTGCTTACCAGTTTTCAAAATATTGCATTATTTACTTGTATTCTTCAAAGGTGTCCCATGAAGTTTGGATTCTGTTTGTTTTTGTTTTTAGTTTCGTTATAAATGAGCTTATGATGTTTTCAGTGTCATTATAAGTGAACTTATGAATTTAAAAATATTGGAGTTATTTTAGTCCATTCAAGTTATTATTTCTTGATGTTTGAATCATCCCATCTTTAACGAGTAGAGGCCTATTCATGCTGGTTCCCAGTTCCTTTGGTTGATCTTAATATCAGTGATCTTAATATGTCTTTAGCAGTTTCCTTGCTCTCTGTTAAACAAAATGTTCCTGCTGCACACATGGCATCAAATTTCTCCGAAGAGGTCTTTTAATGGGAAATGGTATTTAGTCTAGGTTCCAGGGAGTATCCATTGTGTTTAATTAAGTTTGTTATTGTTCTAGCTAGATGTTTTAGTGACAGACTAGAAAAACTCATGGTTTTTATTTCATGCTTAGGAGGAGCTTCTCAATTCTTAGATCACATCATACACATTTTGTTGCCTTCCACTACTTTAATTTTTTAACTTTTTGATCGATCTGTAATTTAGTTTTATGTATAAAGTATGAATCTAGCTTTATTTTTTCCAAATGGCTAACATATTGGTGTTTATCTTTTCCTTAAGTGTTTGAATTTCTACCCTTGTTATAATATTAAATTCCTGTATGCTTTGTCTGTTTCTGTATTACCTGTTATCCCACTGGTCTCTGTCCTTATTATACCACCAGTTTAAATTTTAATGTTGGATATGGCAAGATTCCTCTCCTAATTTTTCTTTTTCAGGGTGTTTCTCAATTTTTTTCAAGCACTTATCCCAAGCACTTTGCTAGATTTTGAAATTAGAGTGATTTATAAATTGGACTTGGTACATGTACAGATACTTATACTTTCAAATGAACTTTAGAATGTTTCTAGAGATCCAAAAAAAAGCATGTTGGCATTTTCATTGTAATTGCTTTTTTTTTTTTTTTTTTTAAGATTTTTTTTTTTTAATTTATTTGTCAGAGAGAGAACACAAGCAGGGGAGCAGCAAGCAGAGGGAGAAGCAAGCTCCCTACTAAGCAAGGAGCCCAATATGGGACTCAGTCCCAGGATCCTGGGATCAACGACCTGAGCCAAAGGCAGATGCTTAACCTACTGTGCCACCCAGGTGTCCCTTGTTATAATTGCTACTAATGAATTTTTTTGGTAGTGTTTGTCTTTTCAGTCTTATTTCTTCCCTTATAAGAAAAAGGTATCAGCTTATGGTATTATAGTCTTTTCTACCCCAGAACAGTTTGAAAGTTTTCTTCACATACATTAATTGTAGAATTTACTGCTAGTTGTGGCTCTTATTTTTTTTTTGTTGCTATCATAAAGTCTTATAACTTCTATTATATTTTTCAACTGGTGGTTTTTTTCCTATATGTCCTCTTATCCAATTAAAATATATTTCCAGAATAGTTATATAATAGTTGTGATAATATGCATCCTTATTGTTTAAAAAATTAGTAAACTATATTTTAGAGCACTTTTAGGTTTATAGAAAAGTTGAGCAGATAGTGCAGAGAGTTCCCATGTATTCCCTCTTCCTTGCAGTTTCCCTAGTACTAACATCTTGTGTTAGTGTGATGTGTATGTTAAGATTGATGAGTAACATTTATACCTTACTATTAGCTAAAATCCATAGTTTACATGAGGATTCACTCTTTGTGCTATACAGTTGTGTGGATTTTGACAGTGCATAATGTCACATATTCATCTTTACAGTATTCTACAGAATAGTTTTACCACACTGAAATGCCCTGTTTGATCTGTTCAACTCTCTTTACTGCCTCCCGTCTTTCCGCCACCTCTGTGCCCCTGGCAACTACTGATTTTCTTACTATCTCTATAATTTTGCTTTTGCCCAGAACGTTATAAAGTTGGATCAAACAGTGTGTAGTCTTTTCAGACTGG